ACTGCTCAGCAGTACAGTTATACCGACCAACTGAACTGCTGGTGTAGATAGTGCTCTGTCAACCAGAGGGTTTCTCTCATTGACATAGCTGTTGCCTCTGTGGAAGGTGGAGTATCTGCACAAGGAGAAGTCTACCATCCCAGTAGACAGCTTCTTCACTGAGTGCTACAGCAGCTGTAAGCATAGACACATCATGCAAGCTGGTAGTGTCTATAGGCCAGAGAGATGCCCTGTCCTCAGCTCTACAAATCCTATTTCCTCACCCATAAATCACTGCTAGCAGGGACACTGGTGGTCAGGAAATGCCAGGGAAATTGGTCAAATATGTAAAGATTGAATAAATCCATTATTTATTGAATAAAACTCAGGGGCGCCCTCACTTGGTGTGGGATAGGGGAGTGAGTGCTGTTTTGATTCTCTTATATATGCCTATTGTTATGTCTTGGTAAATTTTGTAGCAGAAAGACTATTGTCTTTTGTTTTTCTCTTCTCCCTCTGAAAATTCTCCTAGAGTTTTGCTCCTTCTTCCCCCGCTTCCTTCCCAACCACAGACATACATTATGTGTTGTTTGGTGCTTGGAAATTTGACAGCCTGGGTATGTCTCTGCTTCCTGAGCTCATTAGTAAATAGCAGCATGCTCTGTAGAAGAAGTGTCAGGAGTCCCCTCAGTATCGCATTGAATTTGGAGTCTGAGACAGTGCACTGCAGTTCTGCCTGCAGCTCTCACCAGGGGGAAGAGTTGTTTGTTTCTTTGTTTGGGAAAGCAGGGTGGGGTGAGGGATTTGGGGTGTGAGGTTTCCTATCTATTACTGTCTTCTTTAAGTGCCCTTTCAAACATCCCTGCTGTGGAAAGGGCTTAAAGAACACCTGGGGGTATTGGAATAGATCGTTCAGATATGAATCACAATGTCCTGCAAATGACCCATTGTATTTTAAAGTCTTAAAAGGTACACACCCTGGCATGCCACAAAACTCCCTCTCTCTCTTTTTCATGCATCCCTTTCCCCCCAACCTCCAATTATTTTCACTGGGGAAAGCCAAGGCCCTGATTGGAAACAAAGATTCAGAAAGCTCCCTCCTCCTCCTCCTTGCTCAGCATAGCCAAGCCTCAGTATCTAGTTCAGGGCACCCTGATTTAAAACCTCAGCGTGTTGCCTCCACCATCAACAAATAACATGCCCTTTGGGCTACAGGTAAAGTGAATAATAGGGAGCCAGTTTGCTGGTTAGATGTCAAGGAGAGAAAAGGGGGGAGGGACACCCAACAGATACATGGCAATGGTGAGAGAGCTCATTTTGTGTAAAGAGGGCCTCAAATCACCAGGGAATCCCTGGATTGTCTCAGGCTGTCGTGTGTGATGTCCATCATGCTGTACGAACACCATCTGTTCGGTATTATACTCTCAGTTGCCAGGCTACCTGCCCTACGCTGTAACACTTGACTGCCTAGCTCTACGTTAGCAGCATTATACATGGCAATGGTGAGAGAGCTCATTTTGTGTAAAGAGGGCCTCAAATCACCAGGGAATCCCTGGATTGTCTCAGGCTGTCGTGTGTGATGTCCATCATGCTGTACGAACACCATCTGTTCGGTATTATACTCTCAGTTGCCAGGCTACCTGCCCTACGCTGTAACACTTGACTGCCTAGCTCTACGTTAGCAGCATTATCCCAGATCAGCAAGGGTGGGGGTAGGGGAGAAGAGAGAGAGGGAGAATCAGGGCAGCAGTCACCAAGCTGGGCGGAACGGTGGAGGATCAGGCAGATATCACCATCTGCTGGCACAGAGATAGAACAACAGCACTGGCCATTTTCAAAAACGCAGAAACGGGCGTTCTCGTTCTCTTCCCTTGTGGGGGCTGCCTGTAGTAACAGGAGACATCCAGACTAATAAATGGAGCTGCATTGTAACTCAAGGCGGAGGGTCCTGTGTGACACTGAAGCCCCTGACTCATGGATTCAGTGGAGTTTGGGGGTGCACTGGGCCTTGTTAGATGGGCACAGCCTCTAGAGATTTCATACAATGTACCTGAATTTTGAGGGAAGCAGGGTTCATGAAATATGTCGCTCTGGCTTTGTAGATTTCTTGGAATTAGCGGTGGTGTACACTAACAACCTATGTCAGTTTAACTGTCGCTCAAGGGTGTTGCAAATAGTTATATTGGCCGAATTCTCAGAGACGTTAATGCTGTGTTGATGGGAGGGCTTCTCCCATACACATAAGCTGCAGCCTCTTGGAGATGGGAAGTACTGACACCAATGGACAAAGCTCTCCTGTTAGCAGTAGGAATGTTAAATATGATGTAATTGTCGTGTAACCGTATGAAATCTCATCGGTTACACAACTATTAGATAGTCCCTGGGGGCGGGGCCAGCAGCCAGTGTGCTCCTGGCCCCACTCCTGGGGAGCCCCCAACAACACCCTGCGCTGTTGCCTCTATATCAGAGGCAGCAGTGTGCAGTTGCAGGCAGGAGCTGGGCCGCAAGGGAAAACCGTTTAAAAACCAACTCCCTGTGCAGACAAGAGGCAGCAGCGTGGGATGGTAGCAGCCCCTGTCCATAGAGGGGCCAAGCTCCCTGCTGACAGAGGCTGCTTTGCGGCAGCCTCCCCTGCCTGCCTGCCTCTGATAGAGTTAGCAGTGCTGGGTGGGGCATGTAGCACTGTGGAGCTGATGCTGGAGGAAACTGGCTTTTAAGCCAGCTCCCCCCAGGACTAACTCCTCCCTGCCACCTCTCACTGCCTCTGTAGGAAGCAGTGAGCAGAGGGGCAGGTGGGTCTGCAGAGCCAACACATGCGGAGACCCAAAAGCCAGCTCCTAGCATGTATCGGCTCCAGCTTGCCCCCCTCACCCTTCACACTGCTGCCTCTGTATCAGAGGCAGCAGCTTAGGGGTGGGGGGGGCAGGTGGATCCAGTGTTTGTGGGGAGCCTGCTTAAAGCCAGCTCCTCACGGACACCAACTCCCATTCGCCTCCCTCCCCCCGTTGCCTCTGATACAGAGGCATCAAGGGGGGAGCATGCGAGTAAATTGATAAGATTAAAAGATAAACCCAGGCTTACTGGTTGATCATATAGTGGACTACACATTGGCATCCCTAGTCAGCATAAGATAGGATTTTCACTAAGGGCCACAGCAGCGATGCAGCACTATAAGTGTGGACAAGCCTTAGGCACTGACTTCTTGGAAAGCACCCTAACAGAACCTTCTAGTCAAAAGATCACCTTTGGAAAACAGGATAAATGCTGCTCACAGAGCTGGTAAGGAAGATCCTCCCAGTCCCCTCCTCAGCTCTGGTCAAACACTATGTGCAGTTCCACAGGAAATAGGTGAGGGGGACAAGGTGATAGGCTGAGAGTGAATAGATGTCAGAGTGACCTTGAAATCCAGCCTGCCTCTCCCTTTTTAGGCCATACCCCAACACACCTTTACAACATATTAGATGGGAGGCAGAGGGGGAATATGGTATCATCTTAGGCAGAAGAACCCATGTCACAATGGTTTCCTGCTTCTTCTCCTCCTCAGCCCTGAGCTCTCACAATGGGATTGGGATTTGAACCTTAAATTATTCTATTTTGTGGCTAAATCCCAAACTCTGCTGTGGTCTCCAGGAATCAGTGTTGTTTCTTCTCAAGATTTTATTTCAAGTCTTCCGATTGTTAGTAGGGATGTTAAAATTCGTTTATTCCCCACATGCACCATTTCCTGCTTCCCCTATTGTATCAGAGGTAGCAGCTGGCGCTAGAGTTGGTGCGCAGGGGGAGCCGATTTAAAAGCCAGTTCCCCGTGGGTACCGGCTCCCGCCTGCACCCTGTGCTGCTGTCCCTGATACAGAGGTAGCAGCGTGGGGGGTCAGAGGAGAGGCTATGTGTAACCGTGCATGTTACCCAAGCTCATCGATTAACCGTGTACACGGTTACACTTTCACATCCCTAGTAGTCAGTGATTTTCTTAAAGCTACTGGAGTCAAATGATGTGAGAATCTCCGTTTCCTTGTATGGTTGTTACTTGTTTTTTCAAGACAGTTTCTCAGCCTCATGAGTGTAGAGAAAAACAGTTTGAAAACATGACACCTAGAAGCTTAGAAACCTGAAGGAAAATGAAAAGAACCCACCTCTTCTTGTTCTCGTGATTGTAAAGAAAATCTCTTTATTTTGGGGTCCTAATTCACATATATTGGATGCCTGCAGTTGGCAATACTTAGGAATGAATTCAGAGCTGGAGTTTGAAAATCCTGGTAAAACCCAGCACTGCTGTTAATTGACAATGTGTCAAAACACTTCTTTGCCTCACTTTTCCCATCTGTAAAATAGAAATAAATTCTGTCCTTTGTGCCAAGGCAGTTGTAAGGATCTTAATAATTAACTTCTATGTAGAGTTTTCAATGTAAGTTTCTGTGGTGTTAAGTATAATTCAATCTAATGTCTATTCCGTTTGGGAATGTGCTATATGAAATTGGTTATTTGAGCATGGGTTTTTTTCAGGGGTCTCTTTCTTTTTTCAAAGGTCTATTAGATTCACAAGTGAGTCAACCACTTATTGTTCCTGGTCCATATTTTCCCTTTGTATGTGGCGTACACTATAGTGAAACTGTATCACTTTCTTTTATACAGGAACAGCATCCGGTGGGACTTTCTCGGACCACAGGCCCTATGCAGCCCTCTGTCCCACCAAGCTCCAGCAATGTGGTCACAGGTGCAAACACTGGAGGTCCCAGTTTCCTGGGAAACCAGCCGCAAGCAGCCATCATGAAGCAGATGCTGATTGAGCAACGGGCCCAGCTCCACGTGATGGAGCAACAGAAGCAACAGTTTCTAAGGGAGCAAAGGCAGCAGCAGCAGCAGATCCTGGCAGAGCAGGTACTATGCACTTCTGTATTTCAGACAGTACAGTACACACATGAGAACAGAGGCAATGGAGGCAGCACAGCACAGCCTTTTCTTGTCTTTATTTTTTTTAAACATAGGACTGGAAGGGATTTGAAGAGGTCAGCCAGCCAGTCCCCTGCTTTCATGGCAGAACTGAGCACCCTAGACCATCCCTGACAAGTGTTTCTTGAACCAAGATTCATGTGTTCAAACTGTAATGGATGTAATAAGCACATGGTTAAGCTATAATCTTTAGTCTTCCAGCTTATACTTTGGCCTTGACTTTGATTTCAGACCAATGTAAATCTGCAGCTACACTTCAGAAGTCAGTGGAGTTACACTGGTGTAAAACTGGTGTGAGTGAGAACAGAATCAGTGTGCACAGATTTGGCAGCCTGGAGTGAACTGTACATTTGAAAAGCACAAAGCTGCTTCTGATCTCAAGCCAGTCTCACACTAGCATATTCCCATCGATTCCTGGAGCTGCTCCCCATTTACACTGTTATATAGGAAATCAGAATCAGGTTTTCGTTTATAAAGGAGGCACCTGAATAAAACTTACCCATAGTAGCACAACAAATGGTGCTTCTAATCCAGTATCTGGAGATGAGATTGAATTCAGTCTTAGGGCATAATTCTCATTTGCCTTGTCATTTGTGCCTTTGCAAAGTGAGTATTTTAAGCTGCCCAATCAGAGTGGTAGTGTTTTACATCACTTTGCACACCTGTTCATCACAACACAAGGGAAAGCCAGTGGAACATCAGACCCTAAAAATACAGGGGAAAAGCAGCTGTGGGATCAAGTGTATCACATAAAACTAAAAATTCGTAGGACCAATGGTCCCCTTGGATTCCTGGCTTTTACTGGTGCACCTGAAATTGTAACCATTTTTCTCTTTGTATTTTGCTAATACATTTTTCAAAGTTGTGCTATGATTCCTACACACTCTTTACTCAGCAGTGGGCTCTTCTTAAGGCTCTTTTCTGTGAGCTGAGGGAATCTACATACTGTGAACAGGAAGTTTATAATGAACATTTGTAGGTCAGGGAATACAGTGGGTTGGTTTTCATTCCTCTTTTGCCATGTCTCTTCAAATGTGTAAGCCCTTGCTTTTAGGAGGGTGCTCATTCTGTTTACAGTACGTTCATGCAGCAACCAGATAACCTCAGGGTCTTATAAGAGCTGCTTTGCAGAATACCTACTAGTCTTTTGAAGGCACATATAAACCCAGACATGACTTGACTTCCATTTATATTAACTATCAACATCTGAATGTGCTTTAAATAAATTAAGAATATTCATATACTGCAGCCATGAGAGAAAGCTCAACACAGCTGTGCCACAAATCCGGACTCAGCAGCATTTCACAATCACTCGCTATCTTAGACCATTCACTTGTCCTGAATGAGTTATCAGCACATCTGTCATGCGACTGTATGTGGTAAATAAAGCAAGTGAATGGAAACGACAAACAAAAAAACAAAAATAGCAACAACAACAGGTGGAGGGCAAAGGAGAATGCAGGAGGGGAATTGGGCCCTACTCGCCCATTTGGTTTTGGGTAGAGATGGGCCTGGGTCACAAAGTTCAGATCTGAATTCAGCAGTCCTCATAGTCGGGGCTGTTATGTATCCCAAGTGTGCTCCCAATTGTAGAGATATAGGCCAGCCACTAAGTCTGGATCCAGAAGGAGAGCTCAAGTGGTTTGAGATCCAGAGTTTCACTTTGGACCCACATCTCATGTTTATTGGACAAAGACAATTCTGAAAATATTCCCTCCTATCTCCTCTCTTTCCCGCTGCTCCTTCTAGACTGAAGACAGTTATACTGCTACTTAGCAAGCGCTTGTGAGTAGGGATGGTTGATGTGAGTCTAAGTGTTGATTCCTTTTAAAACCGAACAAGAAGCCCATGTGCTCTCAGTAGGACTCTTCACATAAGGCTGCTGCACACTTTGCCTGCCCCGACACACAGCACTTGTCTCACCAGAACAGCCTGCTAGCGGAAGTGCTGCAGTTGAGCTGCTGTTTGTAACTGCAGTCAGTCTCATAATGGTCACATTCAATCATTCATTCATTAATCATCTTTTTTTCCTCTGCCGTCATCTCTTCCTCTCTCTCATTCGTTTCCAGCAGTTGCAGCAGCAGTCACATTTGCCTCGGCAACATCTCCAGCAGCAGCGGAACTCGTATCCAGTGCAACAAGTCAGTCAGTTCCAAGGTAAAAGTTATAAATGCTTTTCAACCCTCCAAGTCAGTGCTGTCCTGTGTAGTAGGCATCTGGAAGTTCATTTTATTTGTGTATGTTGGCGGCTAGGGAGGATGTTGAGGAAGAAGATTTCTCTCTCTCTCGGCCTCCTGCACCCTCACATATACACACTGATATAACACACTTTCACAGAAAGGCATTGTTCAATTTTACATGGAGAGTTATATTTCTGAGTTAGGTTTTGCTTTTCCCAATAAAATCTGCCCCTTAAAAATTCTCCCAGTCACTTCTTTCTTTCTTCTCTGCCTCTTTGACTCTTGGATTCTGAGGGTACTGCTACACTGTCTATTTTTTTCGGAAGAGGTATGCAAATAGCGCTTGCATTTCCATGCCTTCTTCCGTTTTTTTTCCCGGAAGAGGCTTTTCCGCCGTTAGGCCCCATCTACACGGGGCCAAATGTCGGAAAAAACCCTCTTTTGAAAGCCCCCTGTAAACCTCATTTTATGAGGAAAAAGGGGCTTTCAAAAGAGGGGGGGTTTCTGATATTTGGCCCTGTGTAGACAGGGCCAAATGATGGAAAAGTCTCTTCCAGGAAAAAAATGGAAGGTATGCAATTCGAGTGCTATTTGCATATCTCTTAAAAAAAAAAGACAGTGTAGCTGTACCCTGAGGGTATGTCTACACAGCAAATTCAAATTTGGTAAACCTCATTCCACGAGGAATAATGCCAAATTCGAAATAGCTATTTCGAAATAAGTGCTGTGTAGATACTTATATCGAAATAGGGAGCCTCCAGCCTTCCCAGGGTGCCCTGGTGGCCACTCCAGACTCAACCAAGAACACTCCTCTCCCTCCCTCCTCCCCGGAGGCCTTAAAGGGATTGACTCAGGTCACAGTGCCTGTGCCAGCTCCAAGTCTGCCAGCCCAGAGCCACTGCCCCTGACCCAGTGGCCCCAAAACATGAGCCAGAAAGCCACTGGCAGCCAGCCCTCCACCGCTTCCCAGGAGCAGTCTGCCAGCTTCCAGGAGACTGCCAGGGCCCGGAGAAGGCGGGCTCCTTCCTGGTCCATGGTGGAGATCATGGACCTTATTCAGGTTTGGGGGGGGGATGCTCCCAATGTCCATGATCTCCGCACTAGATGGAGGAACACAGACATCTATGGCAGGATAGCTGGTAGCCTGGCCACCAAAGGCCACATGTGAACCCAGGAGTAGGTTTGCATGAAAATTAAGTTGGTCCGGCAAGACCCCCAACCCTGAGCCCTGAGCTTCCCCTCCCGCTTCTTCCCCTTCCTTCCCCCTTCCAGCTCCCTTCTCCCAGGTTTCCTCCTCCCCTCCCTCACCCCACCCTCTCTTCTCCCCTCTCCTGCCTCCTTTCCACAGTCTCACTAGAGTTTGATCCCCCCTCCCCCTCCGTTTTGTTAAATAAAGAGAGTTTGTGTTCATGAAAATACATGTATTTTATTTTACATCAGGAAGGGGGGTTAGGGAGGAATAAGTGGAAGGATGTGAGGGAGGAATGAGGCACAAGCCCCCAGTGAGGAAGACCAGGAAGGCTCTTAGTCCTCCTCAGGGTGGAAGCTCTCCCGCAGGGCTTCCTGGATACTGACAGCCCCCCAATGGACCTCTTGGATGGCAGCCTGCAGTCCAAGAGAGGCACCAGAGTGCCCAGGGTCAGCTCTGGCTCCATGTTGCAGAGTGCTGTGGTGTCCCGAGCGAGGGCAACCAGAGCACGCAGAGACAAAATGCTTTGCTGTTCCTCATCGAGGTAGGCAAACAAGCAGGGAACCCTGAGAACCGGCTGTCCGGGGGGCATCCCTCAGCCTCAGGCAGCAGCCACACAAAGTAACTCCTCACCTGATACCCTGCTGGATCTGGTTTCAGCTGGCCTAAATGCGATTTAGCATCCACTCAGTGTGGACGCGCTATTTCGAAATTGAAACACTTCCCTTACCTGTATTTTGCACCTCAACCCAGCCAGGCAGAGGAGCTGGGGCCATCCATTGAGCCATATGTAGAGCACAGTTTTTCCGTATACTCCTGAAGAAGTACCATCCATTTCCATAACAGGACCTACTGGTCTGTGTTGTGCTGTGGGCCATGGTGGCAGGGACTGATTCAAGGACACCATGTTTTGCTGCTGCTGTTTAGTTTGTGTCTTACAACAGATTTTTTTTTTAATTTTAACTTAATAATGTTTGATATGGAAAAAAACTGCGATGCTATTTGAGCTTCACCTGCAGAGAATTTTATTGTTTTAGTTCAGTATGGTATTGACTTGAAGCCACAACGAACCTGTGGCATAATCAGAATTCCTGTAATTGTTTTTAAATAAAGATAGTAAATACAGAGGCATATTGGCTTCCCAGAAATCGATGATCCCACATCAGGAAGACACAACAAGCATGGTGCAGTTATCTGCCATGGTGTGGGATTTAACAAGGTTAGGATTTTCTGGTTTCCCATTATTGGTCCAAGGTGGAGTAAAATGTGCTTATAATATTGATTCACTAATACACTCTCTCTGCTCTGCATGTCCCGAAAAAACAATTTTTCTTCTTTCCATAGACTTAATCAGTAACAATGATATAGAAAATCCATTCATTTATGCCTCCTGAGCTATTAAAAAATTGATTGGCCTTCTGAGTCTGACATTTCCATTTTCATGGCTCAGTTTGGAAAGACAATGGAGATATTTAAAAGAGAGTCTTAACTGGCTGGCTGGAGCTCAGTTATTTACTCTGAAATCCAGTCAGACAAAATATCTTTCTAGCGACCGCATGCCAGATCCTGCTTCCTTTCAAGTCTTTTACTTTGATAGAAGCACCATTGGGCCTCATGTCTGAAGGGAATGACATAGGTGCAGCTGAATAGTGCTAGAGAAATTAATATCTATGTGTGTGTCATTTTTAAAAAAGGGTCCTTGTTCCCCTTTTTCCCAGTGAGGAAAACATACATTGGTATGTAATTTACTGTTTTTATAGACTTAAGAGTGCAAATTTCAATAGCTCTCAAGCACCTACATTTTTTAAAATGGGACTGAGCCCCTAAGTATCATAGAAGCCTTTTGAACATTTTATCATTTTTCGCAACCTTCCTCAGTATTGCTGTTCCAATGGTACCTGCTTCCTTGAAGCCTCACAGTTTTACTAGAAGAGCCTGTATAGCACATGATCAAGATGGCTCTGATGGTTTAAGCTGGATCATGCACAGAATCAGTTTTTCTTGATACTTCAAAAGTGAATGAAGAACCAAAAACTCATGGGTCAATGGGGGAACACATCCAAAAATTGTCAAAAAACGAGAATTGCTTAGCAAGTAAATCTTCAGCTTTTAACCTCTCCAGCCCTATTTTAGGTCTTAAGGGAAATTAATCTAATGCCCTGTATTGATGGTATTCTCTGCTGAACAGTCTTTCACTTTACAAATTGAATACCTAACATGATCAGCAATTCCTAGTTAGGGTAAGACTGGAGCTGTAAATTTTCTCACCTTCAAGGAAAGGAGACTGTGCAAGTCAGCATTAAGGTCACAGCCGGAACATGATGGGGAAGCACATTCTGTCTGACAGGTGAATACTAGGAAGACTAGAGTTTTCCTCTCTGGGATGGGCAACCTTCTTCTCTCTCTCTCCTTTAATTCTCATATGAGAGAATCATGTGTTCACCCAAAAAGCAAAGCAATCTCAAATCAGCCCACAATCTCTAAGGCTTCTACAAATTGTTTTGGTATGCAAAGATGTATTATCTAATACTCACAGATTTCCCCCCTCCTTTCTGTAGGTTCTCCCCAGGATATAGCAGCAGTGAGAAACCAAGCAGCGCTTCAGAGCATGAGGACCTCCCGAATGATGGCCCAGAATGCAGGCATGATGGCAATGGCGCCCTCTCAGAACCCTGGTACAATGTCGACAGTGGCTGCTCAGTCCGAGATGGGAATGACTCCTTACAGCAACACATCTACCAGCCAACCAGGAATGTACAATATGAGCACAGGAATGAGCCAAATGTTGCAGCACGCAAACCAAAGTAGCATGACCATGGCACATAGTGCGGGCCAGGGACCAAGGCAGCCCACGTCCGGACAAGGGGTTGGAATTGTCAGCAGCTTTGGTCAAAGTATCCTGGTAAACTCTATTCCCCAACAGCATCAGCAGATGAAAGGACCTGTGAGCCAGGTCCTGCCCAGAGCACAAGCTCCTAGGCTTCAAAATATGATGGGAACTGTCCCTCAAGGAGCACAAAACTGGCAGCAGCGAGGCTTACAAGGTATCCCTGGAAGGACTAGCAGTGAAATTGGGTCATTCAACAATGGCACGGCATATCCAGTGCAGTCTGGGCAACCAAGGCTGCCCAAGCAACATTTTCCACAGGGAATTAACCAGTCAGTATTGGACACGACTGGAACAGTCAGAGCCCTGAACCCAGCAATGGGAAGACAAATGCTGCAACAGCTCCCTGCGCAACAAGGAACCAGCCAAGCAAGGACAATGGTCATGCCTGCAATAAGTCAGGGGGTTCCCACAATGCCTGGTTTCAGTCAGCCCCCTACACAGCAGATGCCAGGTGGGAGTTTTGCTCAGAGTAGCCAGGGTCAGGCCTATGAGAGGAATCCCGCTCAGGACATTTCTTACAATTACAGTAATGATGGAGCTGGAGGTTCCTTTTCAAGTATAACAGAGAGTGCAGACCTTGTGGACTCCATCATTAAAGGCGGACCAGGTGATGAGTGGATGCAAGAACTTGACGAGTTATTTGGAAACCCATAGTGAATGGGATTGTACAGTTTAACACTCTGATTGTTAAGTTCAAAAAAGAAAACAGGATGTCCCCCCATCCTTGTTTTTTGCTTTTTACTCTGTGCAGACTGAGCTGGCTGTGGGAGAGTCAGGAGGTGATTAAAACATTGACGTGTTAATTTCACAAAACTTCCACAAAGCAATCTCCACTGCACAGCAGTACCTGCTCTGCCTGGCTGTGAGACATGGGAATGGGGGTGGGGAGGGGCTGGAAAAAGCAGCTGCGCGCTGCCCATGGAAAGAGCTGGTGCACTCTGTGTGGTGAGGCACGGTTGCATAGCGATGTGATGTTCCCAATCTCTCCCATTCCATTTTACTGTAATTGCTGCAGCTTTCAGGGCATGTGAAGAGCTAGATCCCTGAGGCCGGGAACAAAACCTAAAGGAGTTGCCAGGTGATTGTGCAGCTCAAAAATGTGTTGAACTCTGGGTATAAATAGATCCCAGATTTCAAAGTGTTCCTGTCCCTTTGATTTGATACAGAGCATGGCTTCTGGAGCCTACTCAGTTGCCAGCGAATGTCCAGCACACATGTGATTAGCCTAACCAATCATCGAAGGGTTACCATTTTCACTGGAGAGTGATAAAACATGAATAGCTTGGCAGAACATAAATCTGGCAATACAAAGAGCAAGACAGAGTACAGGACTGTCGGTGGATAGGAATGGACATCCCCACTGTTTAAGTGGGTGGGTTAGCTTAATGAGCAATTAATTCTCTTTTAGGCTCAGCACTGTGTTTCTGTATTTGGGTGCTTTGGCACATCTGTGCTGGCTGGTAATGTACTGTAGGCTAGCAGCTAAACGAGGTGTAAAAGGACTAAGCAGAGTGAACAGATTACACTAGAGTTCTATGTAGATCCAATTTAAGCCCCCTTTTCCTCCTCCTCCTCCAATATACTTATAATTCTAGGGCTGTGTCTATACTGGCATGAATTTCCGGAAATGCTTAAAACAGAATAGTTTTCGTTATAAGTATTTCCGGAAAAGGAGCGTCTACACTGGCAGGCTGCTTTTCCGGAAAAGCCCTTTTCAAGGTTAGTAGGTATTACTTGGGGCAGGGATGCCCCTGCAGTTGATTTAATACTACATGTAGCCTGCTTTTCTGTCTTAAACGGATGTTCTGTGTAAAATTCCCACTGTCAGGGTATCCAAACTGCAGGAATCAAGACAGACTGGTGTAATGGTCATCCATGGAAGGGCAAATAGCTTTTCCAGAAAAGAGCCCCGAGCGTCATTTTCGCGATCGGGGCTTTTTTCCAGAAAAGACTACTGGGCTGTCTGCACTGGCCCTTTTCCGGAACAGTGTTCCGGAATAAGGACTTATGCCCGAGCGGGAGCAGAATAGTTTTTCCGGAATAGTGGCTGATTTTGTACAGTAGAGCATCGTTGCTTTTCCGGAAATTCAAGGGCCAGTGTAGACAGCTCACAGCTTATTCCGGAAAAGCGGCTGATTTTCAGAAATAAGTGGCCCAGTGTAGACACAGCCACATTGTTTTTCCTTAATAGTAGGGACAAACATGCACTGTTAACACAAGGCCATTGCACTTCACTTTTCTTCAGCCAAACAGCAGTCCCCATGTGCAGGGACAGGGAGGAAAGGAAGCCAGCATGAGAACATTAAAATGCACCACTAGCGTGTGGAATTCTGAATAAATTTCCCTTCTTCTGAGTGTGCAAGGTTAGTAGGTATTACTTGGGGCTGGGATGCCCCTGCAGTTGATTTAATACTACATGTAGCCTGCTTTTCTGTCTTAAACGGATGTTCTGTGTAAAATTCCCACTGTCAGGGTATCCAAACTGCAGGAATCAAGACAGACTGGTGTAATGGTCATCCATGGAAGGGCAAATAGCTATCTATTGGTTATCACCACAAATATTGGGTCTCCCCAAACAAGCTTGCTAGGCAGTAGTGGTGACGTATCTCAACAGGTTGAAAGCAGATCTGTGCTGAACTTGTAACAAAACTGTGCTATGTCTTTCAAAATGGTGCTTTTAAAAGAATAAAGCCCAGCCCTTCGGCATGTTACTAACCCATCCCTGTGAGCCAAAGCTTTCATTGAAGTTAAAATTGTTTAAATGATCCAAACCTACCAATTGACAGATCTTTAGTTAGGCCCCATGGTGATGAAGTGCTGATCCACTGAAATCTGTAGGAGCTGAGGATGGGCAATCAGTACCTCAGAGGTTGCCCTTTGTTTCTGCATACAGCACAGGTATGAGTAGGAACAAGGAATGGGAGTAAATTGGATTCCTTAATCCTTTTATGGTGTGTCTACACTGCAGCCAAGTGGGGTGATCCCCCAAACAGGTAGACAAACTGGAGATACTGTCCTAAAGATAGCAGTGTCCGCCTCCCTCCCCCAGGTCTGATCTTGGGTGGCTAGCCTGAGCCACCTCAGCAGCCTCACGGCTCTTTTTAATGCACTAACTCGAGCTGAGTTAAGACGAATCTCTGTACCTGTCCTGGGGATTGTGCTTAAGGTTGCAGTGTGGATATAGCATCCGGTAACTCATTGCCCTGCTGCTTGTTCACTCTTGTGTGGTAACCCTTTGCTGAGCTTGTCTACACTATGACAAAGGGTGTAGAGAGGGCACGCCGTATTTTAACATGGGCTAGATGGTTAAGGGAACTCCCAAACAATCGGTGTTAAAATACAGTGTGCCCTGTCTCCACCAGAGAATGCATTAGTTAAAATGTGCTGGGTAAAACATGTTAATGATCTACATGAAGGGGCTGATCAGTAGCTGTTTGAAGTCCAAGGGATTCAGTCTTTCCACTGACATCAGTGGAGGTGAGGGTGCATCCTAACACTATAAAAATGAGCACCAGCTGAAGACTTCAACCACAAGCATTTTATAGCTAGTGGAATCTTAGACCAGCGTAAAAAGGGGGATGGATGAAGGGTACAACTGGCACTCCCAAGGGGAAATTGTGTGGCTAGTGTAAATGTTACAGGAGTGGGTGGGGCACTTCCTTGTCCTGCACTGTATCATACAGCTGCACCATGCTAATCAAGGGTCACATACAGCAGTGAGGATGCCAAGCCTTGTGTGGATGGAGCTTTTCCCCAGGTAGTATCACTATTTCTTGGCCTTGGTAGCAAAGGGTTCCTTGTGAAGGATGGATACATCTACGCAGCAAAAAAACAACAACAAACAAAGAAACAAACAAAACCCTTACGCTGCTGAGTCTCAATGCATGGGTCAACTGATTTGAGTTCACTGGACTTGAGCTGTGGGGCTGAAAATAGCCTTGCACGTGTTTGGGCTTGGGCTGGACCCTGGACTCCAGGACCATCTCCCTAGCCATGTTTCAGCATCCAGACTGCAGCCTGAGTCAGAACATCTGTGCCTGGCAGCATAAGCCCTGTGAACCCGGGTCACAGTCGGCCCAGGCTGAGACTCACTGCCCCGAAACTGGTCTTGCTTTGTAGATGCATCCTCAGAGAGGCCAACAGGGAAATTAGATTTAGAAACACGCACACACTGAAAAGCAACATAATGGAACATCACTTTTATCAGAAGGGTACAGGAATTAGCACATGTATTGTGACAGGAAGTTTGCTGATGAGGACTGAGTCACTGGTGTCTTTGGAAAGCTTCCTCCAAATACTCTGTACTGGGACCAAGTAATAGAAGTAGATTTTAATAGTTTTTTTTTTCTTACTATGGTGCTGATGTATATGTAATGTTTAAAAAAAGGTTATTTGTAAATAGATTTTTACAATTCTGCAGATATCACTGGGTCTACTATCTGTAAAATATATACATATAAATATATATATACTGTTTGTTTAAAATAGAGTATTTTTATTTCATTCCTTAACTCATCCTCACTGCAATGATATTGCACTTCAGATGACGTCTAATTACTAATTTGTACTGTATCCTGACAGCAACTTGCTCCATTTTATTCAGATTTTTCTAGTGTTCTGTTTTTACTTTGTACATTAAGCATTGCTTATTTCCTTTGAGACCTGTACAGAGCTCTGAAAATGTAGAAATGACCTGATGTTAACATACCACTTTTAAAGAAAAAACAAACAAACAAAAAAAGCAAATAAAAGATTGTTATCTGAATCAAAGAAGAGACTGATTTATAGGACTCTCACTCATGGTACCTCACATACTTCCTACCATGATACCCAGATATTACCATTATTGTCCCATTACCCATTATTGGGGCTTCAAAGGAAGAAGAGGGAGCTAGTTTAAATGGGCATGAGTGTTATTTTATTTGGTTGGCTAGCTATAAAATTACAGTCAATAAGAAGAAGGGGCAAAGTCTGTTGGGGTTTATTGATTGCAGGAGAGAGCCATTCACTTCATGATACACTGTCATGACCTCCAATAACAACAGCTCTAGTTAACGTTGCAAAAGTGTTTTCGTGATAAGTCATTTTTACACGCTTTCCACAGTAATAATTTTTCAGTCTTATTTTTACCCAGGTTTGGGCTGTATTTGAAAGTTTTAGTTTAATGTTATTTTAATTAAAAGCGTGAGCAAAATTGCCACAGTCCTATTTGAGTTGTGGGTGAGTATAAAAGACACAGTGTTCCCATTGTAAAAAACAACACACAGGGCTACAGCAAAATCAGCTGAAGTTCAAAACTTGATATTTGGCACACAATATAGTGCTTTTGCCTCATTTGAGGGGGCAAAATTGATTTTTTTTTTTAAAGATCAGCTTCATTGAAGTTGAGGGCGCTCAGAATTCCCAGGGAACAAGCCCTCATTTTGTATTTGTATTTGTATTGTGATAGTAGCAATTTAATTTGCCCTCAGTAATAATCCAATTCCTTCCTTGTGAGTGAGTGGTCAGCCTTTTGTCCTGTACTGGACTTTATCCTGCTGAGAATCTGCTTATTACCCTGTAAAACAGAGAAGAAAAAAATCTGAAAGGAGCATATGCTACTGCAGGAGTCAGAACTCTGCTGAATCCTGGTCTTGGTACTGCTGCCATGTCATGTGGCCTTGAGAGAGCCTTCCAGGCCTGTCAGTCATGCCACAGAATCCAATGGAATTACACTGATACAAAACAATCACACTGATGTTTCCCCGTATGTAAAATGAAGTTGTGAATATGCACCTACCTCCATAGGGTTGCCAGGTGTCCGGTTTTCTACCGGACAGTCCGGTATTTGCGCCCTCTGTCCGGTAGAAAAATTCAGAAAATACCGGACAGGCACAGTGTCTGGTATTTTCTGAATTTCCAGCTGGGTGCTGCACGGAAGCCTGGCAGGGGCGGGGGAGCGACTGAGAGGCGCGGCCACAATTGGCGCTGGGAGTCCTGTGGTCACGTGCAAAAGCCGGGCGGGATGGGGGCATTGGCTGGGACTCCCAGCCACTCCCCCCGCCCGGCTTCTGCATGCAACCAGAAGCTCCCAACTGGGAGGCGGAGCTGCGATAGGCGCTGGAAGCGCGTGGTTTGCTGCG